CCACAGCCCCGCTGTGTAACATGCAGCACTATTCTTTCTTCCTCTTGGCACTACCGTTCACAGCTATCTCTTCCTGCATGTGCTGAAGCCAACAGAGAATCAGAAAATAATGAAATGAAGCGTGATTTAAAATGCAGTCAGCTATCACCTTTCCTCTACCCACCCGCAAAGGCAGGTGAGAGAGAACCATTTGGCTAACTATCTTTTCCTGACATTTCAGTTCTTCCCTTATTCAGGGCTGGGTATTTAGATATGATACGGCTGAGACTGTCCATGCTTATGCGTGAGTGGGTGAGTGAGAGAGAGAATACGAGTGCTGGGGAGAGGAAGTCAACACCATGGCTAGTGACAACAGTGCTAGTCTAAACAAGCCAAAGAGAGAAGAGATAAGCAATGAACAGGAGATGAAGAGGTAGCCTGAGACAACCAGGTCTGCCAGAACAGGAGCCAAAAGCTGAGGGCTGAACAGAAAGGGAACAAAGGGTTAAGAGGTCAAGAAGGAAGCATGCAGTTGGGAAGGGAGGCGTTGGTGGATCTAGAAGAAATGTGCCGCATACTTGGTTTGGGTTCTGGAATCCCACTCATATTTGTTCTACATTTGATATGTGACTTGCTTTGGCCATGGGGCAGCAACATGTATGATGCAAACAGGGTTTGAAAAGTAGTTGCATGTTGAGCTTCGCTCTTGGGGCATCCCTCCCACGTGGAGAGGCCTGTGCTAGCCTGTTGGAGACATCCACTAACAACCAATACCAACCTCCAGACATATAAGCAAGGCAATCTCAGATCATTCAGCCCTAGCAGAGCCTCCAAATAACTGTGGCTGCCTGAGTGACCCAAGGAAGATGAGCAGAACCATCCAGTTGAGCCCTGCCCAAATAGCTGAAATGCAGAATTGTAAACAAAAAAATACTGTTTTTTCTAAGACTCTAATTTTCAGAGTGGGTTATCATGCAGCAAAGCTAATGGACAGAGCTAAAGTCTAAGGTGTCTCACAGAGCAGCATCATGGCACCTCATAGCTGTTGTAGAGCCTGGGTATTCAAACAAGCAGGGAGGAGAGTCAGTGGCTGAAAAGATAGAGAATGGCACATAGTGTTACTGCTGCTTTTACCTGTCTTTCATTTTTTGACTTCTTGGTCAAGTACACAAGGTAAGTAAACCAACCTCTGGGATCGAACCAGTAGACCAGAGGAGAAAGAAGACATGCTCCATCATGAAAAAGTCAACTGTTGTTTTTTGTATATACTGGCAATAAAGCAGTTACAACAGTATAGTGATATAGCTGGCCAGCTCCACAGCTACACATTGCCTTCTGCTGCAGTCCCTTCAACACCTCCAACGTTGGTCCCTCAGCATTACTGCCACAGACCAGAGATGCTGGAACAGGGAAAGGACTGAACCAAGGAAAAACAAGAAGACTGTTCATCTCTGGTGATAGACACACTGAGAATAAAACCATCAGCCAGTCTAGTTTATCCTTTTAAAAATGAAAAACATTCTGCACATCAAAGGAATCCACTAACAAAATAAAAAGGTAACTCACTGAATGGGAGAAAATAATTATAATACTATTTCATGAGGAGCTAATACCTAAACTATATAAAGAACCCGTACAACCCAATAGCAAAAAAAAAAAAAAAAAATTACAATTACAAAATGTATGGAAGATCTGAATAGACATTTTTCCAAAGAAGACATGCAGATGACCAACAGGTACATGAAAAGATGTTCAACATCATTGATCATTAGAGAAATGCAAATCAAACCCACCATGTGATTTCACCTTATGCCTGTTAGAATGGCTACTATCAAAAACATAAGAAACAATGACTGTTGGTGAGGATGTGAAGAAAAGGGAACCTTTGAACACTGCTGATGGGAATGTAAACCGGTGTAGCCACTATGGAAAACAGTATGGATGGTCCTCAAAAAAATTAAAAATAAGACGAGAATTTGATCCAAGATTCCACTCCTGGATATTGATCCAAAGAAAGCAAAAACACTAACTTGAAAAGATATGCGTAGCTCCATGCTCACTGCAGCATTATTTACAATAGCCAAGACATGGAAACAACCTAAGTGTCTATCAGTGGATGAATGGATAAAGAAAGTGTGATACACACATATGCACACACAAAACAGATTATTCAGCCATAAAAAGAATAAAATCTTGCTATATGTAACAACATGGATGGACCTCAAGAACTTTTTTATGCGGAGTGAAATAAGTCAGAGAAAGACAAATGCTATATGATCTCTCTTATATGTGAAATTTAAAACAAAAACATTAAGACCAGCCTCATACATAAAAAGAATAGACTGGTGGTTGCCAGAAGAGGGAGGTGGAGGGTAGGAGAAATGGTGAACTATTTTAGTTGCTGTTGCTTTTAGTTTAAATAAATTTAGTGAATGAATTAATGAATTCTAACGTGGATCCCTGCACATTTTCAACATATTCCACACCAGGTTATGAAAATGAATCCTCTAAAATGAGAGATAATAATGCTTAGTAAATTCACATGAATCTTAGTAGAATCTAACCTATTTAATCTAACCAGGTAATCTGTCAGCCATCAATACTTGCTCAATATCTCTTTGACTGCTAGTGGTAATAGAAAAAAGCAATACTATAACCTGTGTATATTAAACACATAGGTATCCAAAAAATACTTTCCAATAGTTATTATACAAATCAGTGATTGAGCAAAAATATCACCCACTAATTCATCTGCAGATCGTCATTATATGAAATGACATTCTCTCATAGTGGGTATGCCCTTGTTTTAACTGTTTTGCTCAGGCTGGTGCTAAAATGAGTTTACGTGTCTCAGTATGCACCAACTAATACTACAGAGAAGTGGCCAGGAAGTCTGTTGAGTGAGGAGAGGAATTGAGTTTTGGATTAGCATTTGCTGTACAATCTTTGTGGCTTCATCTGTGGGCTGTTAGGGAAGTCCTTCTCACTGCACCATTTCTTATATTGCTTTCTTGACAATATCCCAGGGCAGATGCAGCTGGTTTTATAGTCACGCAAAAATCTGCTTTGCATATGTCATCGTTGTACTTTGATTCCAACACACACAAAAAAATTTCATACATTCCTCTTTGTCAGTTATTCTAACAGGCAGGTGAAGGCTGTAAAATCACATGTTACAAAAAAAAAAGAAAGAAAGAAACAGGCTCTTAGAACATTAACTGTGTGGCCATGGTCAAATGTAATTAAACTGACACATGAACCTCAAGTCCAACAACTCCAACACTCTACAGTAATGTGGGACACAGAATATGAGCATGGGGTCCATAGGAGGAAACATATCTTTCAAATTCTAGTCTAATTATCCTTTTATTCTTAATTGATTTGAGAATATCTAGCAGTTGATCATCTCAAATGGCCAACGAAGCCATAAGACACACTATAATTATTTGAAAAATTATTTTCAATAATTTTTATTCAATTCTTTGCTAATACTTGCAACAACTAGGAAATTTGGTTGACCAAAGGATAGGAGAGGAAAAAATAATCCATGACCATTTCATTATGATAAAAACTGATATTTACTTATAGACCTTCTCATTCTTCTAAGAAAGTACCAATTAATAATGGCCACAAACAGCATACTTTACTGAATAAATAAAATATTAACATATAACATATAAGCAGTGGTAAATAAATAATTTTGCAAATCATTCTTACAGCTGACATAAACATATATGCCAATCTTAACATATATATCTAGCTTTATTTCATACTTTGTGGGGAAATGCCCCATCCTGTTTCTATTTCTAACTTACCACGTGAACACAAACATGTGATTCAACCACCTCAGGTCTCAAACACTCGATCAATGAAACAAGGTGATTGGATTTCAAGTCTGAGGCAACAGTCTAGCGGAAAGAACTCTGGATGTGGCCTCAGCTGAGACTGAATCCAGGGCCTGGTATCCTGTTAAACATCTGGCTGCGGGCCTATACTTCAATTCTGTGCTAATCTAGGTAAATGGAGAAACCACACCCTTCTCAAAGGGTTTGCAAGAATGAAAACAAATACACTTAAACTTACCAAGCACAGTGCCTCATCCACAGTAGTGCTCAACAAAGAACAACTGATCCAAACAATTCCTTCATCCCACAATCATTTATTAAACTTCAATGCTGTGCCAGACATTATTCCAGGTGTGAAGGATACAAGAAGTAACAAAACTGACAAAACACCCTGCTTAAACACAGGCACTGAGCCGGCATAGAGGTCTACAGCTCTAACTGGGAGGAGCTGTGTGCCTCACGCTGCATAACCCTTTGATTCATTTCTCAGCCTCATTACAGAATCCAGAACAATGGATCCCTCCGAAGTATCATTCCAAGATGCTAGATCCTCACCACCTTAAGGAGAAACCACACACCAGATCGGCTCTCCTTGGCCCTTCTCATCATCACAGTACTGTAAACACCACGGGGGGCAGAGCTGGGCCTGGGCTTCACGCTTATCCTCCACCCGAGCCCCTTTCCCCTCTCTTTGGTCAGAAGGGTTCCGCAAGCCTGCCCCAGAGCCTTCCAGAAACCTCCGTGAAGGCTGAAGTTGCTTGGCCGCACTACCCTCTGCTCCCCACCAGAGGTCGCCCTCCCACACAAGCCCAAGCAAACAGAAGCCGGCTTTGCCTTCTCGGCAGCAGTGACATTATTTTCTTTCTCTATTTTTATCTATTAAAAAGATTTCTTCACAGCCATAACTTAGATCTCTACACTAAAATGGAGCAACAGGAAGATATAATGGTGCATTTCATTTATGAATGACCTATAATAAATTACTCTGAAGTGTCCCGAGTGCCAGGAGACAGAACGCTTTGTCTGCCCACGGACTGTATTTCACCTACTTTAATTTAGCTGACACATAAAACTCATTTGACATTTCACAGGTATTTGTGTGGGGGGGGTGGCCTGTGGGAGGGGACCACTGCGGGGCCAGGCAGGGAGTGGGGGCAGGGGCAGAGCCAAGGATATTTGGTTCTTGTTGAGGGTTAAGGTGTGGAGCCTGGGTAACCCTGGCAACACGAGGTCATCGCCGAGCAGATTGTTGTCCAAGATGAGTTCCTCCAGGCTCCCGAACGCGCTCAGTCCTTCCAGTGACCTGCAATGACAAAGGCAACAGGAAAAATGATCCTGCACTAAATCAGGGAGGCCATTATGAGCCGAAATAAATATTTTAACCTTCCCTTTCAGGACTGGGAATAGTTTGGGCTTGGTGCCTGTCAGCAAAGTGAATGACAAGAATTAGTAGAGGGAGCCGGGGCGGGGCGGCGGGGGAGAAGGGGCCGCTGGCACTCACCGCATCCTTCACGCATTGCCAACATGAAGGATGAGGGTCACTTAGTGAGTAGCCAGGATCCAAAACAAAGGGCTTCAGATACGGCCTGCAGGATAAATTTGTCAATGTCTTGTGCCTTCAGGCACCCAGCCTCGGCTGACCCTAACCTCCATTCCCAAGATAAATAACTCTGTCACAGTTCACCTTCATTCCCTGGACACAAATTTAAGTTGTCATCCATCATTCCTGCCCAGAAATATCATACCCTCTTACAATAATAAATATAACTTCAAGTATCATTTCTTAGCGGTTCTCCTCTGCGCAGTCCTAGGAACCGGCAGGGAAGGCTTCCTTTCTCTGCATTCACCGCCTGTGACTTTCCCCCACCTCTGCTTTTTTTTCTTTACTAATCACTTAATTTGCTGCTGCCCCGTGTCCCAGTGGCTACCTCAAAGGCAAGACATCCGAGGAAGCACACAATCACTCCAGTCCAAGGGGCTTTCTTTTTCTTTCATGATTTCTTTTTGTTTTTGTTAGGCAGGGGTAGGTTAAGAAAGGGGATGAGGGAATTTCTGCCTCAAGGCTCCCTGCTTGAAGTTTATTGTTTTAATGTATGCATAGTGGATTTCTCACTTTAGTTTTGAAAAAAAAAAGCATCGAATGCAACAATGGAGATGTGGAAGCAGTAAAGCAAACAGACATCTGAAAGAATAAAGTACCCAGCTCAGGGGTAAAAAAGTATCAGAAAGGGGAAAACAGCCCTGGTAATAGGCATAGCTGAAAGTTACCTCATAAGGTTAGGGTTGCATGAGGTGCAGACTGCGAGGGGCTGTTGTGTGCATGTGCCTGTCCATTGCACACAGACGGTAATTACAGAAAGCCGCCCAGTGGAGGCACTCACAGGGCCAGGCCACATGCTCCCAGCTCGTTCACCTGCCAGACCCAAGAGCTGTGCTGAGCTTGCAGAGGCTGACAGCTGAGCTACGATGCTGGCCAGAGGGCTGGCTTGCAGGGGATCTCTGGCTATTCTATAAAATGTAACCAATCGGGGAGATGTTGTCTACACTATTTATGCATTTACTGATAGCACTTCCATTACAGACCCCCTTGCTTGCCTATCCTATGCCTGGACCTGTGGTGTGAGTGTGAACTTGAGTACCAGACCTTTATTGTCACATCCATCCAAAAGGACTCCAAAATTAATAGGCAATACTTGGGAGGTGAGAGAAGCAGTTCAACCCCCAGACTTCACTGGGCCCAGAGCTCCACCAGCAGCCCCATTCCTGCCCCAAACCTCCAGGTGGCCCTCGCCAGGGCCTAGCACCCAGACCACACCGAATGCCTGTAACTGACACTGTATACTCCACAGCGGGGTAGGGGGCTGGGGGTGTACTACATACATCTTGGGTCAAAGGTCAACAGAGTCATCAAGTTTCACTTCCTCCTCCTCTTCTCTCTTCTTCCTCATGTTTCAGGAAGGCAACACACAAGTTATACATATGCAGTCAGGAAGCCCTGGTATTTTACCTCTGTCCCGTCATTTACTTGCAGCCTGAATTTGGGCATCTCAATAAGCCCCAAGAGCTCCCTTCATCTACGTTGCCTCTAGCTCGTTGAATCTTATGGAGATTAAGTGAGAAAGGAGTAACAACTTACTAGCAAATACTGGTTTCATTCTTTTCCTTCCTCCTTTCATTAGCTGACTTTTCTGGAAGCCCTGACCTTTGGTCAGGGATCCCGATGCAGGGGATGTGCAGAGAAATAGATGTGCAAAGGTGTGTAGTGAGGGTGGCTTCTCATGGAAATGCCAGCCTTTCCTGAAGTCCCTTCCACCTTGGGGGTTAATGAGTGCTGATGCCAAAGTGCTTTTCACAACCAGCCCCTGTTTATCTCTAGAGGAGTCGAGGCCACCTCCACATCAGGGCACCTAACAGATGGGTAATAAGTCCTTGTGCTCAAACATCAGCTAGGCTCTGGTCAAAGGCACATCCAAATACACACCATTCCAGAGTTATGCAAATATAATGCTCTTATCAGGAGAATCAGCAAATGGTTGGCAACTGGCAAGCCGAAGAAAGCTCCTTTCCAAGAGTGCTTCAGGGGAGGCATAAAACAAAATGACACAGTCTAGTGAGGACAAAGCCTGAAACACGAGAAGGAGTGCCGCGGAGATGCCTTTCCCTCTGGGTGGTGGGCTCTGGGGCAGAACTCCAAACAGAAGGAAGACTTCAGAGAGCAGTTCAGAAGCTCAGGCCCAAATCCCCTGTCACTTGCCTGGATCAAGATCCTATTTTGCCATGCAGTGTGATTAGCTGCTCATTTAAAAGGGAACCTTGTTGTGTGGGGGGGGGGGGTGTGCATATTAATAAATCGCTATCTTCATGTCAACAGTGTGATTTGCACTTGGTGATTTAATCAGCTAAATTCAGGGCTGAGGGATTGGGGACAGGAGGCAAAGAGCGTAATGAAGGGTAAAACTGGAGAGGACAGGATTTCTGGAGCTTGGCTGGCATGTGGAAGGCAATAAACAGATGCTTAGAGGATGCCTTTAATTTTCACCTTAAAAATTTTTTACTTTTGTGTTGTTGTTGACATTTTCCTGGAAGAAGAGGGAAGAAATTATGTGGGTCAATCTTTTATCTCATACTTATCTCATACCCCTCTATATAAGATGCCTGTAAAGAGATGCATGCTATCAAATAAAATGACAAAGCAAAAAAGGCTCTAAGGGTCCACACAGATCTATGCTGTTCAAGGGACAGCTATGGTACAAGGAAAAGATGACAGGACCAAGATCTCTGTTATAACCTTGTATATGGACAGTAAAATACACCCCAGACCCAGGAACCCTGGAAGAGGAGGTGATTGTCACTCCAGAGGCACCCACCAGCTTGGTTGGCTGTAGGTACAAATGCCTGAGAGGTGGGCCAGGAAGGCTGAGCAGACCTGAGTGCCATGGTCAGGGGCTGGACGGGGAGCGCAAGGCCAGGCCAGCTGGACAAAGGTCTTCTCAGCCCAGTGGAGAGATGTCAAGGGCAGGCAGGGAGACCTAATGTGTGGTCTGGTCTGTGGCAGGTGGTTTGCTCCAGACACCTAATCAGCACCTCTGAAGCACACTGCAGGCTGCCTGCCTTCACTGCACAAGCAGGAAGGCTGCCCACAATGTCACCCACAGGTACCATCTCAGTCCCCTGGGTGGCAGGGCTCCGGCTGGGCTCCCCTAGGAGCCCCTGTGGCCGCCGGGAGAGTCCCTGCGCCTTTTCCAAAGTCACATCAAAATGACAAAACATCAGAACGCATTCAGCTCCAGCAGATTCAAACAGAGAGAACTTTTAAGTTTCCACTGTAATTAACCCTATCCTCGTTAAGATAATTATGATCAAGCTTCCTGTCAGAGTTAATATCCCAGCATCACTGCCCGTGGCTCCCACTCTGCCTTCATTAGCTTATAAAAACAGTGTTACTAAACAGGCTCCTCACCCTCTGCAAGCCAGGCAGTGGTTGTGAGCCTCCAGGACGGAGGGACCTCAGGCGGGGCAGCTGGGCCCATGGAGGTGCTGCTCCCAGACCCGCAATCTCTTCTGCGCCCGGGTGGGCACACGCTCAGTGGTCTCCATCCTTTCCCAAAAGTTAGCTGCTCATCAGAATGGGGAAGGAGAAGGCCTCTGGACCAGAGCGGGCCTGGGAGGTCTGGGGCAGAAGCCTTCACTGCAGGTCCCTGGGAAATGCCTGCACACTGACTTCCAACAGTGGCCACAACCAAAGCTACAAGGACAGGACAGACAGCACATAGTTGCCTGTGGGGGATAAAGGAAGAAACACGAGAATGGGAAACCTGTGATAGGCCTGCTCATGTACCAGAAAATGGCCCAGTTGTCTAACCCATGAGAGGAATTCTTTCTTTCAGGCATAAAACTCTTTTTATATCCTATTCAAATGCAGCTCCCTGCCCCCCAGCCAAAACCCAGTCAGGAAACCCACCAAAGGACACATCCAGAGTTCCCAGTTCAAGAGCTGCGCAGCTCATTCTTGGGGTGCAGGCTGTGGTAAGAATTAGATCCCCTTGTCCTCAACTCCCAGCCCATAGCGGGCACGACACTTCTGCCTGACATGAGGCGGAGAGGGAACAGGAAGACAGGTAAGCACGGAACCTGAGAAAGGTAAGTGTCTCTGTGGAACCAGGGTCACCTCTGATTCAGAACCAGAGGGTGGGGTGTCTCAAACCAATTAGAAAATAAGATTTCCACTAAGATCTTTACCTCTCCCTCTATGATACTTACCTAAACATCCACATACATACTTTTTATTGAGAAAATGGGGAGACCTTGGACCTAGAGGACCTGACCCATACGTTTGAGGTCCGCCACAGTGGCTAGACCTACAGAGCTTCCCAGGTCAGTCCCTGCCTGCTCTTCAGTGGTCTTTCCGTGTGACTACTGTCCACCCAGCTCCCAGCCGAAAGGATCTCATTGCAACCTCCCTAGCAACCTGGGAAGTTTCAACACATGCTAAGGGCTCAGTGCCTCTTTGCCAACTGACTCCTGCTCAGCCAGGAACCTGTGAACTGCTGAGAAAAAAAGCTGTCAATAGTATTCCAAGGGCAGGACAAAGAGTAAGCTTTGAGTAAACTTAAGAGTAAGTCAGGGGCTAGGGGGGCAGTCCCTCAATTCATATTTTTTCATAGGCCAGAGGGCCTCCCTCTCTTTACCCCATGGCCAACTGTCTGAGAATAGGCAGAAGTGGTATTCAGTAAGTCTGCACCTGTACAGCAGGGCTGGTTATTAAACTACTTCAATATTTTCTTATCAGTTGGTACAAAATTG